ATAACCCAAGCGGTTCGCAACTGCAGCATTGTCTAACATCAAAGACAGAACAGACATACCTAGAATGAATAGGTATGGAGATAGGGGGCAGCCCTGCCGTAAGCCTCTTGTGCTCGGGAAGAACCCATAGAGACCACCATTGACTGCAACCGAAAAGTATGGAGTAGTAATACAAGCACGTATAGGATTCAGTAGACTCTCTGGAATTCCGATTGAGTGTAAAATATCCAAGATGAAATCCCATTTGATGGAGTCGAAGGCCTTTGCGATATCCAGTTTGATGGCCACTCTACCCGTAACATTCTTTTTATGATAGCCCTGGAGGATTTCAGCCGCTAGTAAACAGTTTTCGGTGATGCTTCGGCCACGAACAAAAGCCGATTGATTCGGAGGTACTATCGCCTCAACTACCAACTTTAGTCTCGAGGCTAGGAGTTTGCTGATTACTTTATAAATGGTATTACAACATGAAATAGGTCTGAAGTCCGACAACCTTTCAGCCCCCGCTACCTTTGGAACCAAGACTAAGGTGGTAGCATTTATCGATCGCGGCATCACTGAGGAACTCATGAAATTCAGGATTGTCTCCGTAAATTCCTCTCCCAAAATATCCCATGACTTTAAGAAAAACTCCACAGTTAATCCATCCGGCCCTGGGGTTTTATTCGAATGCATGGCTTTGAGAGTAGCTTTGATCTCCTGGCGTGTGAATGGTCTGGCCGCCGTTTGTAAAACAGATTCCGGTGCTCGGATAATGTAATTCTGTAATAACTGACTATCCTGATCATACTTTCCGAGAACAGCACTATAATAACTGACTGCTGCATCCGAAATGCTCTCTTGATCCACTATGCGCTGGCCATCTGCCAAAATAAGATGTCGGATAGCATTCTTCGAGTTCCTTATCAGTAGTGATCTATAGAAAAATCGTGAGTTCTGATCTCCAACTCGAAGCCAATGTACCCGTGATTTTTGCTTCAAAAATCTCTCCTCAATCTGGTGAAGGTGAGACCAGCGCTGTAAACATTGGTTTTCCTCCATAAATGACTCGGAAGATGGAGTACGGAGAGCCTTTTCCTGCGCAAGAAGTAACAGAGAATGTGAGTGTAACACCTTTTTTTGTAAGTCTCCATAATTTTCTTTGCAAAGAGTTTTTATGGGGATTTTTTGCTTCCTTAGTTTTTGGTGCAGTTCCGATAGTGATGAAGCTCGACGTCCCGCCATTTGCCAGGAAGATGAAAGAGTCAACAAAAAAGAAGGATGGTCAAGAATGAAATTGAAGATTTTGAATGGTTTTGGAATGGGCTTGGTGGTTGGTTGGAAAGTAATCATACAAGGTGAATGATCTGAGGGATGAGGTGAGGTGAAGGTGGCATGACTATGAGGGAATGAGGTTAGCCATGAGTCATTAATTAGAGCTCGGTCTAGTTTTTTGGCTATGGGGTTGTCGGGTTGTTTGTTCGACCAAGTAAAAAGTGGACCTTGGTATGGAAGATCGAAGGTGGCAATGGAGTTTAGGAGGTTAAGAAATCGGGTCATAGGTGGGGAGTGGTTGGTGACAAGGATGGAGGAGTGTTCTTGGGGAAAGGCTATTTCATTAAAGTCCCCGCATATTAGCCATGGTGTGTCTGGTGGGATGCTGGCCTGATGCAGCTCCTGTAGATGCTCCCATAGGTTTATTCTCTCTAGATGGAAGTTTGACGCATACACCACTGTTAGGAAAAAAGGTCTAAAATTTCCCGGACTCAAAAGAAGAGTGACTGCCTGTCTGCGCTTCAAAACATGAGAAATCCCTACCGAGGGGTTTACCAAAATCCAAATACGACCCCCATCGTCTTCTGAGTAGTTATCTATGCACTGCCACTGCATCCCAATGTTGTTCAAAATTTGGACTTTATTAGCCTCCTGAACATGAGTTTCAAGGACGACTCCAAAAATTAGCGAACTCTTCCCGAATTGCTCGCGGACAGCTGCGTGTTTTTTTGGGTCATTTAGACCTCTTATATTCCAAAAAAAGGCAGACATTGACAAGGCGGTTTTTCAAAAGGTCCCCGCCTTAGCGGGATCAGCTCCAATCGGTTTTGGGGGACGGGTGGCTGCGGGTGGGCTTTCCTGGTTTTGGCTTGGAGAGGAATGTGGTAGTGTATGTGATGATACAACAGGGGGGAGTTTTTGGGTAGGTCAGGGGGGGAGGTGTTGTGCTGTTGTGGGGCAGTCAGTTGGGAATCAGGTTGGGTAGATGTTGTTTCAGAGTTCGAAAGCTTTAAACTTGGGATGGGTGAAGTTTCAGCTGCCTTGTCAGGGTAATTGACAACCTTTGTTTCCAACTCCTTCAAAGGAGGGGTAGGTTCTGAAGGACAGTTTGGAGTTGGATATGGTGTAGTAGTTGAAGGAAGCTGGTCTCTTTGAGTGTTGATAGTAAGTGGTGGCTGATTTGGATTGGTGGTGGGTTTTAATAGAGGAAGGGAGGTCTTCGATCTACAGCTCTCTTCAGTGTGCCCAAACTCCTTGCAGTGAGTGCATTTAGCAGGAACCCAATGATAAAGGACATTTATCACGTCTATTGAACCATCCTCATGCTCAAGCTCCACTTCTCTCGGGAGATCCTTAGTGAGATCTAAGTCAATTTTCACATCCACCGAGTTTATACTTGAGATCGGTCTGAAAGAGATCGGGTTACCAATTGCACCCGCTATGTAGCTTATACCCTCTGTGGTCAGGAGGTGGAGAGGCACATTTGTCAAATGTGTCCACAGCGGAGCTGATTTGATAGATGGGGGATTCCTCGCATAATCGGGAGACCATTCACGGACAAACAGTGCTTCAGAGCCAACATACCAGAGTTCTTGTTGGAGAACAGCCTGTCTAATCCGAGCAGAGTGGATTTTGACTAATATAGAGCAGTCATTGAGCTGATGGATGTCAAGTTTTCTCTCTTTCCCCCACAAGTGATTCAGTACAGCAGTAACTTTCGCCATCCGAGGAAGTTTCCCATAAAACGTACAAATCACGAAGTCTTGCATCTGTCGAACCCCTGCCTCAACAACAGAATTTGGGATTTTGACCCTCGGAATACCATTTGGAGATAAGGTCGGCTCACCAAGCTTTGACAACTGATTCGTAGGACCTTTGAGCCGGTTTGCCCAGGTAATCGGTGGCGGGGGTTTTGGTTGGGGGCTTTTGGCGTTTCCTTGATTTGTGCCGCTGGTGGAGGAGTAGAGGTCCGAGCTGAGGAGGGGACAGTGACGCGACCTAGAGGGGAGTCCGACTGAGGTTGGATTGCAGCTAGAGGAGCAGAAGAAGTAAGAACTGAGCTTAGCTCAGAATCAGGGGTCTGCGTGGTTGGACCCATTAGGCGGGGGACCGAGTCTGATTTAGAGTCAGCACTGGAGGGGAGAGCCTGAGTGGGAAGTACAGGAGTGGGGACGATGGAGGAACCAGGTACAGCAGATTTCGCGACCTGAGTAGTTGAGTTTGAGGGGGAAGATTGGAGAGGTGGAAAATCGATATCTGAGTAGTGGGTGAAGTTAGGGATTGGGGGAGATTGCGATTCAACCGGAGAGGATGGCAAAATCGGTGGAGAGGGATTCAAGGGAGGAGGAGGGGGAGAGGCGAAATCTCGCAGTCTGGGTGAGGTACGGCGGTGGGGGGGTTCTATAGGGCTGGGTTGATATGGAGGGTCTGGTGGATCTGGGTTATGGCGAGGTGTGGGGAGGATGGGCGGAAGGTTTCTCCGTCGAGCCATTGGCCGTCAGAGGGAGAGAGGGGACTTACCTGGCCTGGCGAAAGGAGGAGCCAATCGCTATCGGAATTCGGAACTAGACTCACAAATCTTATTATAACACGACTCACTGTTGGAATGTTTTGTTTTATCCAGGTCAGCAAATGCCATGATATTCTCATTTTGAAGGATACTGTGATGAACTTCTCTCTCACTCATGTCCACCATAGGTTGTAGAGCCAAATTGGTTCCAGAAGAAGGTAAAAAAAAAGATATGAGTATCATAAAACAACGGTTTTCTTTTAACAAAAAGCCAGTGTAAGAGGAGGACCCCACACGATGGAAGAGTTAGATACATCGCATGCATATTATCAGATTTTTCTCCTTTCTCTTTGAACAGGGCTAACTGTATTCATATTCATTTCGAAGCATAAAGAACTCTCCCTTGTGTCACCACCTATCATCTGCTTTTATTTCCGCTTTGCAATCACCTTATACATCGGCTGCAGTGGATTAGCCGTCACCTCCTATCGCTTACAAAGACAGAGCGTGAAGACATACCAAGCAGCTCATACACTCCTCCTTTCGACCGACGAGCTTTCCAAATGTTGGTCTTATATAATAAACAACGCGTAAATCAATGTATGATATACACAGAGACATTTAAACTATATTAATAAATTATTAATATTAATTGAATCTAATTATTATATACATAAATATATCTTTAGATACATGTATTTAGTTATTATTATTAAAATAATTTTAAATGTTTCCTAATCATGCTTTACCTTATTTATTAGAATAGGAATTTAAAAAAACATAGATACGTGTCATATAGCATAAAACAATGTATGTATTTATTATATACACAAAAAAATATAAAGACTTTTACGTACATAAAATGTAAATGTATTTAGTTGTAATTATTATTATAAATAAATTGTTTTAAATGTACTTTAATTATCTTTGACCTTAATTATCAGAATGGTAAGAAATCTTAAAAAAAAAAGTAGACACGTGTCATACTCTCCTATACCCACTGTACTTTTATATAATAATAATATAATATATTATATATATATATATATAAGATATTAAATTAAAATAAAAAAAAAATTTACAACAGCTTTATCGAATTGTTCGAAACAATTACATGCATAGGAAAAATCCTAAAATTTTAAAAACTACATAAATTTAAAACCCATATATCCAAAAAGATTATCATTCAGAACTTTGATTTGAAACCATGATACTTTAATTATACATTATATGAAAGTATCAATACATCATACTTATTTCATCACATTTGTTAATACATGACACCTTTCATTACATCAAACATGCATCAAATGCATGACACTTTCAGTACATGATATGAAAGTATCAATACATCATACTTATTTCATCCCTTTAGTATGTTAATACATAATACTTTCATCATTACATAGAGCACGCATCAAAGATTGTGATTATTCTCAAAGTAACAGTACCCATAAAATGTAAATATCTTACTCAAATTTCAAACCCGAACCTCGTAGCTTCTCTTCCATTACATCGTCAATTTTCTTGGCCATGTCGGAAGTTAGATGATTCTTCCAATCTCCAACTTCGCCTTTCCTGAAAAAATCCTTGAACTCCAAGTTGCAAATACTCCCTGTCTTGTTGGCTTCCAAATTGCTCAAATTGCGCAAACTACACAACTTCAAGATCTCATCCACCAATCCACTTTCCTCCTCTTCTTCCGTAAACGGACAGTCCAAGAATTCGGCAAGCCTCTTGATTTGAACACGCGGCTCTTTTTTCAGGTCTTCATACTTCATGAAAATCACATGCTTCGGATTCTCCAAGCTCGCTTTCCAATAGCTCAAGACATGATCCCAAAAGGGTCCAAAGAAATTAACTCCTCTACAAAAAGATTGGAAAAACACTTCAAATGATGCTCCATGCATTGCACTCTTCATATACTTGTTCCTGAAAATCCAATCCGACACTATCGCGTCTTTCAAGTTCCTGCTCACATACACGATCTTGCAAGGTGAGTCCTTCACACTTTCTTGCAGCATAAAAAATGGCACGTGAGTTCCAAACATCTTTCTTGGACTGCCATGATTGGTCAGATCTGGATTTTGGCGTTCTAAATATAAATCGACCTCGAGAAATGGTACGAGGATATGAGGATTCTGAGAAAGCAAAGGGTGGTTTTCAGGATTAGCATTGTATTTCCCTCGTTCAACAAGGGCAAAGGTAAGAGCTTTGAGCCAAGTCGTGCCCGTCTTGGGAAAAGAAGCGACGATTATATCGGTGTCTCGGGGTCGAAAGTGATTTTCAACATTAAGAATCCCTTGTAATGTGTTGTAATGATACCAAAAGCCTTTGTAGTTGCAAAGATTATTCTTACCCAAGAAATCTTTGTCCAGGGGAAGAGAAGAGATCAAATTCTTGCATTCTTGTGTAATGTTGTCATCCTTCATGAAATTCGGAACTTCCATTGTGAATAAGTTTCAGACAAGTTTTGAGATAATGAATTATATCAATTCTTTTGGGCAGTGAAGTGAGAATCTCTTACAAATTCTGGCTGTTTATATAAGACCAAAGTGATTAGTTTTGTTCATGTTCTCCACCACATCCTTGAAGCCTCACAATGTCGTATTTGTCGGCGCTTTGTGCAATATGTGATATGCAAATATCCCATGTTTTTAATATTTCTTTACATGAAATATACGTCTACGGCCAAAATTTCAAACCGACAAAACTAGAAAAACAGACACAAACAACATCCATACAAGATAACTTTGTAAAATGACAATGAAATGGACCGATCAAACGAATTGTGGGCCGTGGTTTATTAAGCCCATAAAACAAGATAATAGGGACCAACACTAGGGTCACTAAAAAAAAATCAGCAAATTCCAACGAATTTTCCAACGGATTTTCAACGGTTTTCAACGGCATTTTAACGGTGATTTCCGTTAAAAATCCGTTGAAAATTTCCAACGGATATCCGTTGGAATCGCCCGTTGGAAATTTTTAACGGAATTTTCAACGTATTCAATTGAAAAAATTAGGGTTGAAATTTTCCAACGGTATTTCCAACGGATATCCGTTGGAATTTTTTTTGGAAATTTAAAAAAAAAATTCCAACGGAATTCCAACGGATGTCAGTTGAAATTTTTTTTGAAAATTTTAAAAAAAAATTCCAACGGAATTCCAACGGATGTCGGTTGGAAATTTTTTTGGAGATTTAAAAAAAAAATTCCAACGGAATTCCAACGGATGTCGGTTGGAAATTTTTTTGGAAATTTTAAAAAAAAAATTCCAACGGAATTCCAACGGATGTCGGTTGGAAATTTTTTTGGAAATTAAAAAAAAAAATTCCAACGGAATTCCAACGGATAACGGTTAGAAATTAGGATTTTAATTGAAATATATATATATATATAAATGCAAGCATTGTTGGGAGAGATGCAAAGGATGATGCGGGCTGAATTACAGAACATTCAAGAAAGGTTAGATCGAGTGGAGGATGAAGCACAAGGTGTTCGACAAAGACAAGGACGAGATCATCGAAATTTTCCTCGAAGAGCAAGGAAATTGGTAGAAGAGCTAAGTGATGATGAAGACGAAGAATCTATGGACAGATTCCCTTTGCAAGGCCGAAAAAGACAAAGACATGAATGTATACATACGTTAATATTTATATATATATATACATATATTTATATATATGTATATATATGTATGTATATATATAAATATTTATATATATGTATATGTATGTATGTATATATCTATGTATGTATATAAATATTTATATGTATAAACATTTATATATGTATATATATTAATGTTATGTAATATCAGAAGTTTAACTTGGAGCAGTTGGATGATTGTCAATTGGAACTCCAGGGTTAAGGAGGATTGAGCTGGAGCAGTGGAACGTCTACAGACCTACTGGGAAGTGAGTTGCTGGATCGGGATCGGGATAGATGTCGGAGTTGGGGTCGGGGTCGGGGCTGGGGGATCGGGGTCGGAGTTGGGCCGGGGGATCGGTATCGGGATCGGTATCGGGATAGATGTCGGGGCCGGGGTCGGGATCGAGAATATATTTTGAATTTTTTGTTGGAATGTTCCAACGGATTGCGGTTGGAAATTCCGTTGGAAAATTCCAACGGATATCGGTTGGAAATTCGGTTGGAAAATTCCAACCGATAAATCCGTTGGAAATCCGTTGGAAAATTCCAACGGATTGCGGTTGGAAATCCGTTGGAAAATTCCAACGGAAAAATTCGTTGAAATTCCGTTGAAAATTCCAACGGTTTTCCAACGGAAACCGTTTTCTAACGACGAAATTCCAACGGATTTATCCGTTGGAAACGTTAATTTCCAACGGAAATTTGGTCATTTCCAACAGATTTGCCCGTTGGAAATGACCATTTTTTTTGTAGTGGGTGACTATTTCGGTTATTAACGGAATAACCGAGTCAAACCGAATCGAATAAGACATAACCGTATATGAACTGAACCTGACATCAAAACCGAACGGTTATGATTTCCTTAAACCCGAAAAACCGAAACCGAAATTGAACCGAACCGAATAAAAAATAACCGAAAAAACCGAGAGAATAACCGACAATTTTCTTTGGAAAATTGAACTTTTTACCAAAACCGAACCGAACCCGAACCGAAAAATAACCGAACCGAATCGAACCGAAATTTATATAAAAACCGAATGGTTATAGTTTTTCTATAACCGAAATAACCGAACTCGAATATAACCGAACCGAACCCGAACCGAAACCCGAATTGGCCACGCCTAACCAACACACAAGAAAGAAACCTTTGCGAGAACACATTACATGCATATATGTCTGATTACTTCAGATTTAGCACTGAAACTTGAAGCCTGAACCGTGTAACTTCTGTTCAGAGGTTCTGTCTATTTCCTCTGCCAAAGAATCCGTCAAAGTGTCCCTCCATCCTTCGATTTGTCCTTTCCTAAAGAAAGCGTTCGTTTCAATTCCATTCGGCAACTTCCCCTTTCGGTTAACTTCCAAGTTACTGAGACTCTCGAAGCTGCAAAGCCTTATGATTTCATCGACCATTCCTTTCTCCTCCTCTTCTTCTTTAGTGAAAGAGCATCCCAAGAAGTCGGCCATTCTCTTCAGGTGAGTTCTTGGACGCTCTTTCATTTCTTCGTACGTAACGAAAAAGACCTTGTCCGGGTTCTTCTGACTTGCTTCCCAGTATCCCAGGACATGATCCCAGAAGGGTCCGCCGATAAAAGACCCTTCACAGAACAACTTGACAGCCTCTTCTATGGGGCAGACCAAGGTCTCTTGGGAAGCCAGCTTGTGTCCGAAATGCCAAAGGGAAACAAACATGTCCTTAGGGTTCCTGCAACAATACACGATCTTACAGGACGAGCCCTTGATGGAGTCGGGCAGCGAAACGTGGGCCATATGAGTGTTAAAGAATCTCGTACAGGAGGAGGAGGAGGACACAACGTCATCAGGTAAACCATGGGGGTAATTATAGTAAACGCCCTCCAAAAATGACACGAGGGAATGAGGGTTGTGAGTGAGGAGAGGATGCTGATGTTGACAATCATGGAACTTGTTTCGGTTGATCAGAGCGAAAATGAGGGCTTTCAACCAAGTCGTACCTGATTTAGGGTTTGTGACGAGGATTACGTCGGAATCTTGGGCTTGGAAGTGTTTTTGGCAGTTTATAGTTCCTTGTAAGAGGCTTGGTGGTAGCCAAAATCCTTGGAACTGATACGTATGGTTCACCATCCAACCTTTCTGTCTTGGAAGTGAAGTCATCATGTCTTTGATTTCTTCGGTCATCCCTTCGTCACCCAAGTAAACCGGAAGTGAAGCATTCGAGTTCGTCATCACCACTAACGTTACGGTGTCTTGTATTGAGCTGAGATTCTTGATCTCCAATACCTGAAGATCTCAAGCTATATATATATATATGTGTGTGTGTGTGTTGTTGGATGAGAACCTTGCTCCCCAAGCAGGATTTTGGGCCACTTGCTGAGAAACTTCAAATAAAAAAAGTAGTTCCTTGACGACCAAGTAGTAAGTAGGAAAAGGGATCACGTATCTGACTAAACGACGAGGAGGAAGGGTCAAACGACCTTACAAAATGTGTAATACTGTGGTGTATGTCTATACATATATATATAGTATAAATATTGCACTATATTAGACAAAATTTTCAATTTTATTCCCTAACCACGAACCTCTTTTAAATTAACACAAGAGCTCAAAAGGGTGGGTGGCAAAAGAACGACATTAGAGAGAGTTTCTAGCAGAATAGAGCATCGAAGTCGGAACCAAACAAACTCATGACATGATGAATTGATGGCTGGTGTATGCATATACATAGCAGCAATTATTCATTCTAACTCTTTTTTTATGTATGGATATAACTACACAAATTAATTTAATTGAAATATTAAAAATCCCTAGTTTCATCTCTTTCCTAAACCCGAATCAGAGTGATCTCCTTCAAAATCTCCTCTGTCGAATGTAGTGTTCGTGACCGAGTGATGGAAAAAGTTATGTTCGTGGTGCAGTGGAGTTCGTTCCGTTAGAAAACTCCTCTATTGCCTCGAAAGTCCTCTGTAAACTTAGTTCGAAAGAATCGAATCCCGCCCATATAAAAATTTACCTTAATCATATCGATTCCTTCGAACTAAGGATTTTTCGAGGCAACAGAGAAGCTTTCGAATGGAACGAACTCCACTGCAGTACGAGCAAAACTTTTTCCACCACTCGATCACGAACACAACATTCGACAGCGGAAATTTTGAAGGAGATCGCTCTAATTAGAGTTTAGAAAAAAAGATAAAATTAGGGATTTTTAGGGTAGGTGAAATCAGGGTTTCGATTCCCCCCTCCCCCTCCTTTATTTATCCTCTTTTCTTAGACCGGTTTATTAAATTAGAAAATCGAATTTGTTTACTCTCAGATCGGATTAAATTTTGACCCAAAATATCCTGATGTGGTAAAAATTATTTAAAAATTGGTTACGTGGACACGCTGATGTCAGCTTTCCGAGCCGATGTGGATTTCCGATGGTTTGAAATTTTGGTCAAACCGGTTAATAAGATATTAGAATAACAATTTGCAAGTTAGAGATTTTATTCAATTACATGTTTTAAGCTAAGGATTTAAATGACAACTTTACAAGTTAGAGGTTTATTTGTATATTTTTTTACAAGTTCGAGGTTTTTTAGGAGTTTTATTATTCTTAATTTTATAAATTAGAAATAATAAAATGAATATTGTAAACTATTTTAAAATATTTTTCTGATTGATCAAGTTAGCAACGTGTTATGGCTAATAATCCGACTACTATCTTTAACTTCCATATATATGAGATTAATTGCATAAATTGGGATAATCGAAGTCTAATAAGCTTGTGCTGGCCGGTTGGGGTCCACTGATCGAGCACATAGGCGCCAACAAAGAAGAGCCGTCAGATGAGAAGGAACAGTTGTCAAAAGCACTGATAATATCGGACGGTGTAATAAAATCACCCCGCTCGCAGACAACCACTTCTCACAATCTACTGAAACCTTAAAAATAAAAAGTGTAAAATTTATAAAAATTTCTAAATTTGTAAAACGGTGATCTAATTTTTTTTTAACTTCTAAAATATATTAATATAATTATTAAATTTATAAAATATGTTATTATAATTATTCAAGTAATTTTTAAATCAATATCGTCAAAGATTTTTTTTTAATTTCAATTAATAAATTTTAAAAATTATAATAAAATATAAAAAGTTTAGAAATTTATTCTTTTTTATATTTTATAAGTTTAAAAAAATTAAACAAATAAAAATAACGGCTAATAATTTTATTTTTAATTTTTTTTTTGGATTTTATTTTTTGGTTTTTACAGAATTTGTAAATCTATCATTAAAAAAAAAGTGTAAGACTTTTGGAAAAAAAAGTGTACGCATCTGGGCTATGATAACCCTCGCATCTTAAATAAAACTTTTATGCAATTGAATCATACATACATAACGATAACATTGGTAATATCGATACACATGTATGTACATGTAAACATGTTACAAAGAACTGGATTTGATCGAGTGGAAGGAACAAAAGAAGGGACAGAAAAAAAAAACACGAACCGACTCAGCTTAATCCCTCTTCGGATAGTTGACTTTTCGATTATTTTAATCTCTCCTTTTTTCATCTGAATCCCAAAAACAAAATCCAAACAACTCAAAGTCAACCGAGGAAAAAGGAAAGAACAATTCTCTGGAGGTGCCGTTTCGTGGATCCGATTCCACGAGGTTCTTCTCTTTGGGTGCTTTCGTCTCTCCAAGGGTTGTACCTCGGAGAATGTTTCGATTAATCTGGTGACCCGTGACCATGTGAAGGGTTTTCGATTTTCCGAGAAAGTTTTCAGCTTTTCCGGGAAAGTGAAGAGTTGGGGGTAGAGAGAGAAACTAGTGAGGAAGAGGGTAATGCATTTACTTCTCTTGCTCTGTTTTCTTCCTTGTTCTTTTTTCGGGGACTGTTTGTCTGGCAAGTGAAAGAGAATCGACCGAGAAAGTTTTTTTCTTTTCCGGGAAAGTTATCTAATTGCACGTGAAAGCTTCTGTTTTCGATTCATTGAAAAACACTGCCGTCTCCTTCTGGTGGTTCCGATTTTTTTTTTCCTCTGTCTGGGATTTTTGGGGTCGCGAGGGTTGGTTGGTAATTAATTGCGAAAACAAAGGGCAATAAAGAAGAAAGTGCCCTCTTCGCGTTTACTGGCGTCGCTCTGCGAATATTAATTGCAGAGAAAGTGATTTTATTTTACCTTCCAATATCCTTTTTGAATCAGAGGTTTCTTTTTTCGTTCCTTGCATTCTCCTCTCAAGCTGTGACCTTGGCTTTGGCTATGGCTTTTGTTTTCTAGGTGGGCTTTTTCAAGCTTTTTGTATATTCTTTTTAACATATGATCGAAATTCTGTGTTCCTCTTGTTTATTTTCGACCTTAGGCCGACAATTTGAGGGGCAAGCCCTGTTGATGAAGATCAGTATCTGTTAGCTCATAAAGAAAGGTGCGTACTTTCACCAAGTCTCTTCCTTTCCTTCTCTGCCGTGTTCTTTGGATGATTGTTCCTCTGAATTCTTAATCTTTGGTCCATGGGTTTTAGCCTGACTCTCCAAGTTTTCTGTTGTGCTGGGACGTCTCTGAAATATAAAGCTTATGGGGATTTGACAACTGGGATATTCCCTTGTTTGCATTTGGCTTTATCAGTGTATCTGTGATGGTGGTGTAGGCATATATATTCACAAACCCATATGGGGATTCATGGGGTTACCAGTTTGTAGATTCTTCTGTCCAGGAAAGCCATTTTGTTTTTATGCTGTTTCCCTGTGAGAAGATTTGGACAACTTGGTATTGCTTGCTTATCTGGTGTTTTTTTTTTTCTTAAAAAAAAACTGGGTTTATTGCCCTGCAGCTGTTGGATCAAAAGCTTGTGTAAGCTTTGCAAAAAGTTTATAAAGTTTTCTCCTTTTTTTTGTCCTCTTTCTGTTCCCGTGGCACAATTCAAAAGATTCCTCATCCTCTGCCTAGTGTTTTTGGCCATGGATCAAGCTTTTACCACAGATATCATCAACATTTCTGTGACTGTGGATATTGCACCTGGAAGTGCAGTTTGCTAGTCTGGGATGGTGGTATGCCTTTGTCAACATCCTTTATGGAGGCTGCTAGTAGCGGCTTTTATCGTCTAATTACCTGCTAATGGATGGATGGCATAGCTCAATGATTGATTTGGAGTTATGAGTTGTGATCTTATAGAAGCATCTTTCATGTGCCAGCATGTATATGTATATGTATATGTATATGTATATGTATATGTATATGTATATGTATATGTATATGTATAAACTGTTTTGCAAGGCTTAGCTGTTTCTATTGTAATCTCTTGTGACTCACTTCTATATTGTGGGTTGGCCCGTTCTTTCGTTGAACTGCTCTTCTATCCTTTATTGATTCCGGTCTCGAGAATGAAGTTTGCTTGTCCTCTTTGCGACATTACTCCCTAATCTATTTCTTTTAAGACCTCTAGGAAATGCTTTATATATCTTATTAATAGACGATTTTGGTTGAAGAACTGCCTTCTTGACCCGGGATTCATGTCTTGAACGATGAGAGCAGGTAGGGTTTTCTCTGTTTCTAAACACGTCGTCTTGTAACTACTTTCTGAATCTTGCAATCGATATTCGAATGGGTTTTCCCGGTGTTATCTTTTTTATCGGCTGTTGATAGATATTCACGTGCATCTGCAGATAACGAACATGCTTCCGGCAATTCAATAGGGAGTCTCGAAGGAGATGGCGAAAGCAACTGGGAGGACACTGAACTAAAGATCCCAAAAAATGGGAAAGAGAATGAATGTGGCTTGTTCCGTGATACAAAAGGCGGGAAATTGGGCAAACAGAGCAATGGAAACATGTTCGGACACCATTCTTCTGAGCCCATGACGGATGATAGCCGAAAGGAAGTGAATGATAGTCATTTTTCCGTGATCGAGAAGGAGGGTTCAGTATTCGATTTGGGCAAAAACGTTACGGCTTGTGACTTGGCTGAGATAGTAGTTTGTTACAAAGAGAATGCTTATAATGTTGTCAAGGATATATGCGTCGATGAGGGTATTATGCCTCGGCAGGAGAAGTTCTCGTCCAATAAGAACGAATCTTGCAAGCGTATCTCTAATCAGTTTGGCTCGGAGGATCATGTAAAAGCAGAAGTAAATGTAAATCCTCTTACGGGAACCTTGGAATCTAAAATAGCAGGAATCATGTCTAAGGAATCTTTCACTCTGGCTGATATTATATCGATGGAGGATGGCCAGAAATCACCCGAAGAACGATCTTTTCAGGTATACGTTCCTTCGTTTTGAAATGTTTTCTCGCCAAATTTTTCCTGGAAAGAAACCGATGCACCAAAATATTAGGAGGTTGGATATGAAAAGACTAGATTTTTATGTTGGTGTATGACTGTAGAAATCAAGCTTGGAAAGGGTAACTCTTGCACCAAAGATCGAGCCATTTCCCGATGAAGTAACGGCTCCTGAAGAAAACAGAAGCTGCAGCAAGAACGAGCCTCGAAGGTCTGAACCCGAACACTACGTTCATAGACACGGCTACACGCTCGAGGACCCCGACGATGTTTCAAGCCATTTCCCGAGCGGTTTTGGTGAGACAGAGCCAGTTTCAGGGCATATAACTTACTCAGGTCCTATCGTTTTCTCCGGTAGCCTCTCTGTTCGTTCTGATGGAAGCACGACCAGTGCACGCTCTTTTGCATTCCCGGTGTACGTATACACATACCCCTCACTCTCTACCCTTTGAGACCACAAATCTTGATTCTGATTGACCTGTGAAAACAGTTGTTAACTCTCTTGAGTGAGGTTGATTTGGTTCTCTTGCAGGCTGCAATCAGAATGGAACAGCAGTCCTGTAAGAATGGCGAAAGCTGACAAGAGACATATCCGGACGCAGAAAAGTTGGAGACACACACTTTGCTGTTGTAGTTTCTGACCTTTCTTCTTATGGGCTGTGTCCTATGTCAGTGCAGAGGAAGTGTTTCATGAAGATAGCGTATACCAAAGAATTAATGTTTTTTTTTTTGGGTTTCATTTATTAAATTACTTAATGGGTATATTATAATATAGTAAATTTTTTTTTTTCTTGGTATGGTGTGAAACGGGGAATAGAGTTTGTAAGTCGAAGCTTTGGTGGCTTGGATTGAAATTTGAATGTATAGAAAGCCTCTGTTTGCTCCAGAGGATTCTCTCTTGTATATATTTACGTCAAGTTATTTTGACAACTGAAAAAATCCTCGTAACCTTATCTTTTTTTATATATATATAAATTTGCTTCCCAAATTAGCACAAAAATAACAGGTTATGTTATGTTTGTTTCTGCCTTGTGTTCTGTTTTCTGTTTCCTCTGTTTCTTGAATTGCAAGTTATAAACCCTAAATTTGTCATGCATAGAGAACCGTTTGAAAACCGCCAAAATCTTCAACTTTCATCTCCCATTCCTTTTCCACTTCTCTTTCCATAAATCCAAATCCAAAAAAAAAACCACAAAGAAATCGAGGAAGAGACAAAAAAAAAAATGGCAGAACAAGAACAAACCAAACAGCCTCTATGCCCGGTTAAGATCCATTTTCCGTACAACACGATCTTCATGATCATCAACTTTGTCTTCCTCATCGTCACGGCCTTCTGGTTCGTGACCATAAGTTCCGTACATTTCAGGACACGGGACTGCAACAAATACATCTCTACGCCCGGAATCTTCGTCAGCTTCTCCTTGTTGGCGATGTCGCTCATCGGATTCTACGCATCTTATTTCAGATCCGACTGTCTCTTCCGAATCTACTTCTTCTTGCTGTTCTTGTGGATGTTTGCCCTAGTTTCAGCTTCAACGTTTTTCGGGCTTCTTAACAAGGAGACAAACCCTAAGATCTTTCCCGGAACTCAGATCAAAGAGTACAAGCTCGATGAGTACTCGGGTTGGGTCCGGAGATTAGTCGTCAAGGAAGACGAATGGTATCGAATCAAGAGATGTCTTCGTTCGGACAATGTCTGCAATGAGCTATCATCGACTAAAAACATGTCTATTTCCGCTTTCTATAACATGGACTTGAACCCTATAAAGGTATGAATTACAAATCCCTCTAGTTATATTTTCTATATATACATACACTCTCGCGGTCGTGATTTCAGAATCAAAGACTTCTTAAACCAAGACTTGAGATACATTTTAATTGCAGAAGGCAAAAGGGATGCGAAATGAATATGTGGGGTCATTCAGTATAGTTTTATAAAAAAATGAGGGTATAAATGAAATTTCCAAACAAAGTTTTACGTTTGCCATGCAATAACAACATGACGCCATGCACGTATCTCTTTTCCTACGTTCTAATTTTGGTTCTTTTTTTCCCTTTCTGCAGTCGGGCTGTTGCAAGCCACCGCTTTCATGTGGATTTGGATACGTAAAACCAAATTTCTGGAACACAACCACGAAATATAATTTTACGGAAGCAGATTGCAGAAAATGGAACAACGACGTCGAAACTTACTGTTTTGACTGCGATTCATGTAGAGCGGGGATCATTGCCAGTTTGAACGGGACAACGCAATCCATCGGGAGCTCGATTGCTCAGATTATGTCTACTTTCTTTGTCGGATATTTAGGTTGGTTTTCGTGGTTAAAATCTCTTAGAGAAGTTCAAATAAGCGAGAGTAGAAATACAAAGAATTTGAATTTCTAAAAAAAAAACGATCTTATTCATTAACATAACTTATCGGTTTAATTTTTTTTTTTTTGTATCAATTTAGGGCAATATTGTTTTTTGTTGTAAAAATTATTTCCTTTTTGCCATTGAAATCTGGAGTTGGAATAACCCATCCGCGACTAACGATCCTTTTCCTTAAGATACATGGTCGACTTATCATGCTTGCATTATATACATTTAGTAAAGATGGAAGTATATGGACATATATATTATAGATATATACGAATCTCTACTCTAATATTTTTTCTTGGTGTATAAATATACTTTCATTATTCAGTTTTTTAAGATTTTATCTATCTATCTATCTATATATATATATATAATTTCGTTGAAACGATGTTTTATTCCACAAATCTTAACATGGTATCGGAAAAAGGGACTTCTGAGTTACAAATGGCCACTAATATATCACAACACAAGAGAAGATACACGAGGACCTATGAAACAAGAGCATGATCTTCATAGGCAAATAAAATTTCAGTCTATGAGATTTAACGAATCTTGAAATTGGACTGGTATCTCATCTAATCTTGAAATTAAATAAAATTTGGAATGAAACATTTATAACCATACAAGGAAGGACCAACCATAGGTTAGGGAGGAAATCTCTAGAATTATATCACATTTTTTTAAAAGTGGGTTCTACGATTATAGATTATCAAATCAATGATATGCTCATATATGTGCACACACGATATGAACATACTTGTCTTAATATAGAAATGGGGGTGACCTCGATTGGCCCCAACACAAAAACATAAGCACTTACATATTCTTGTCTCCTGGATATTTTTTTTTCTATATATGGTTCGTTTTTTGTTTCTTTTTTTTCGTATAAGCAAGTGGAATTTGTTTGCCTAATTAAAAAAAACAAAATTATCTTATCTTTTATACAAATGCGCACTCCCTCATATATATATTGATATCCGTATATGTATTAGAAACATGTAACAGCTTTTTCGTTTTATATTTTCGGTCTTTTGGGAATGGATATGTGTGTGTATATAGACATAAGTTATATATTTATATTATATATTGGACATTTTCTTTGCCATTAGTGATAAAGTAAATTCATACATAAATATTTTAGTAGAGCGAACTCTGACATTTTTGTGTGGCTATTTATCTGCCAAGGAACATATTAATCTTTGCCTTTTTTTTGTTATTTTGCATGGCTGAAGAAATTGATCACAGAGAACTTATTCAATTTATTTTATCCGAAACATTAATATATGTAGATTATTTATATACTCTAATGTTTTGGAACTGACGTGGATTATATTATTTCAAGCCCAAGTCTCTCTAATTACGTAACTAACGGAACCAATATTGTTTTCTTTCTGGAACTAATTGGGGTTAACTTTAAATTAATAATATTTAAATCTTCTAAATCGATATGGAGATTCCAATGCTTTGAAGTTGATATTGCTGACGACATGAACTGCACTTCGATCTGGTAGGTAGAAAGATGCGAATGAGTTTTAATAAAAGAGGTTTAAATAAAAGGAAAATCCGAAAAAGTTAATCAATTATAATTAACTACAAAATTCATACCGAATTATTTCAGTTTTATGTTCACAAGCAATTATTAATTTTTGATAAAAACAAATATTGAACTTTTAATTTTTTCTAATTTTTCAACCGGAAGAAAATCCGATCAAATTTTCAATGGTAACTACTGTTGTGTTTCTGTCAAATTACCACATCAAAAGGGATCTTCGTACCTCATCCAAAGGTAGTTGGGCATGGCGAAAACTGCTAAAATTGAGGGAAACAGCAAGACATTTCTTGCGTTGCCATCTAAGTTGTAAGTGTATGAACTTTCGTATATTCATCAGGTCTAGAATTTGGGTACATATAGAAACAGAGAGAGAGAGATACAGGTGGTAGGAGAGAGATATGCGCAACTAATAGATACAGCAGAATCTGGTAGTTTCCTAGTATATAGGATTGCAATCTCTAACACGCCCCCTCAAGTCGGAGCACCCTCGGTGATTCCGATCTTGACGCAGAAGTCTTCAAACGTGGATCGTGGTAGCGGTTTCGTTAGAGCATCGGCTGGTCTTTCGAGCTGACATGTAGGACACGTAAATCTCCGGCTTGAACTTGTCCACGAACGAAGAGATAGTCCAATGCCAAGTGTTTCATGCGGGAATGGAATACCGGATTTGAGCTTAGATATGTGGCACCAGTATTGTCGCAGTAGATTGTTGGTGTCGACGTAAGAGATATGCCGAGTTCCGATAGCAGCGAGACTAACCAGCGGATTTCGGCCGATGTGTTTGCTACCGACCTGTACTCAGCTTCAGTCGAAGAGCGTGAATGACCCGGTAGTTTCTTTGAGGACCATGAGATTGGGTGTTTGCCGTAATAGATGATGAACGCTCCCGTGGACTTGAGATCGAGTGGATCGCCAGCCCAGTCGGCGTCGCTAAATGCATGAAGAGAAGGGCTGTTTGTTGCGGAGAGGAAAATGCCCTTGTGCCGACTGCCTGATAGATACCGTAGGATTCGTTTCACTGCAGTCCAATGGGTGTCAGTTGGGCAATGCATAAATTGAGACAATTTGTTTACCGAATAGCTTATGTCGGGTCTTGTGAGTGTGAGATACTGCAGGCATCCTATGACTGTCCGAAATTCCAACCCATCAGGAAGAGGTGTGCCATCAGTGAGAGTGATCCGAGTTGACGATGCCATTGGTGTCGGCATTGGTTTGGCATCAAGCATTGATGTCCGGTGCAGCAGGTCTGTTATGTATTTCCGTTGATTGAGGAAAAGATCCCGTGTTATTCTGCTGGCTTCGACGCCTAGGAAGCAAGACAGAGTCCCAAGATCTTTGAGAGCAAACCGATGGGCGAGTGTTGAGATGAAGCCGTTAATCTCGACTGCATTGCTTCCTGTCACAATCAAGTCATCGACATAGACAAGAACGTAGAGACAGGTTGTTGCTGTCCGAAGAATGAACAAGGAAGCATCTGCCTTGGAATTCTGAAATCCCCGATTAACAAGAAAACCACGGAGCTCGGAATACCAAGCTCTTGGAGCTTGTTTAAGACCATATATGGCTTTGCGGAGTTTGCAAACGTAGGAGGACTGTTCCTTGTCAATAAATCCAGGCGGTTGGCTCATATAGACTTCGTCCGAGAGGCGACCTTGCAAAAAAACATTGTTTACGTCAAGTTGTCTAATGATCCAACCGTTTGTAACCGCAATACTTAGCACAAGACGGATCGTTGGAGGTTTGACGACAGGGCTGAATGTTTCATTAAAGTCAAGGCTCGGTCGTTGATGAAAGCCTTTTGCAACGAGTCTGGCTTTGTAGCGATCAACCGTGCCATCCGGATTCGTTTTGATTCTAAACACCCATTTGCAGCCGACAACGTTCATATCGGGTTGTTGCGGTACTAGTTCCCACGTGTTGTTTCGAATGAGAGCATTGAACTCCTCACTCATTGCGAATCTCCACCGAGGATCCTGTAATGCTTGAGTCACCGTCGACGGTTCTCGATTAACATCTGTAACAGAGGCCACAAGCGTGAGTTTATTCACAGGCTTGGAAATCTTATTTTTTCCCCGAGTTACCATTCGATGAACATTGCGAGTTGATGCTGGAGGATGGTCGAAAGAGGAATCAGGTTCCAATGTTGACAACGATGCAGACTTTGAGCTCGTGGAAGTCTCCAGCACAGGTTCGGGTGAAGGAGCTGTGCTGAGGGGCATCGGCGGTGCTGTTTGAGGTGCCGGTGGTTGGTAGGTGAATGTGGGAGTGACAATTGTAGGTGTTGACTCGAGAGAATGATTGTCAGGTGGTGAGGAAAGTGCTGGATTTGTAAAAGCTGATGGGTTTTGAAATGGAAACACGTGCTCATGAAAGAGTACATGTCGCGAAACATAAATTCTGGATTGATTAAAGTCATAACAGAGGAATGCGCTTTGAGAGGTTGAGTAACCAAGAAAAATGCATGGTTGGGATTTGGTGGCTAGTTTGTGTGGTTGATAGGGTCGGATCCAAGGGTAACACAGACATCCAAATGTACGGAGTTTATCGTAATTCGGTGTTGAGTGAAAAAGGGACTTAAAGGGAGACTCGAACGAGAGGACGGGTGTTGGAAGACGATTGATTAAATATATAGCTGTTTGGAAGGCAAATGACCAGAGAGAAAGAGGAAAGGACGCGTGATGAAGAAGGGAGAGACCGATTTCTACGACGTGACTATGTTTTCTTTCTGAAATACCATTATGCTCGGGTGTATGAGGTGGTGACGTGAGATGGGAGATTCCATTGGTGGCGAGAAAATCTTTTAGAGCGATGAACTCGCCCCCATTGTCGGTGTATAAGGTAAGGATTTTGGTTTCAAATTTTTTTTCGACAAGTGGTTTAAAACGGACAAAGGTTTCGAAAACTTGGGACTTGAGTTTTAACGGATACAACCACGAATATCTAGTGAAATGGTCGACAAATATTACATAGTATTTAAAACCGTCCATGGAAACGACGGGTGATGTCCAAACGTCAGAAAATAAAAGTTCAAGAGGCTTAGTTGAAATAATGGAGGAATAATTGAACGGTAGTTTGTGGCTTTTATTTCGTGAACAAGAATCACAAAAAGAGAAGGTGGAATCCCGAGCTAATGATAAACCAAAAGAAGACATAACACGCTTAAGAATCGGAAATGATGGGTGTCCTAGACGCGAATGCCGCTCAGACAAAGTGGACTTACGACTCGAAAAAACAATAGGTTTCGAATGAAAAGAAGTAACCGGCCACTCGTAAACACCGCCATTACTTTTTCCGTTGAGTATCTCCGCCCCCGTGCTTAGATCCTTCACCTGAAAAGAGTGCGGAAAGAATTCCACCGAGACATCATTAGTTTGGCATAATTGAGTCACCGAAACAAGATTTTTCTTCATGGCAGGAACACATAAGACATTATCGAAAGATAACGGACGTGTAGTGTAGTCAAGAGATAAAGAAC